ATGCTGGGATTAAAGGTGTGTACCACCACGCCCAGCTAAAACTGCTTTTTAAACAAAGAGATTCTACATATGAGAAAGGTAAATTTAGATTAGAAAACTTCAAAGTAAAAAGCCACAAAATCTTGAGATTTCCTTTTATTGGCAAAAAAAAAAAAAAAAAAAGTCAGAAGTTGTACTTGCCGACTGGATTCAACAGTGAGGCAAAGCCACAGTGCCCTATACACCACACTGAGCTGCTGCTCCAGTCTTGCAGAAGAGCAGTGCCTTCAGGAGGTAGACCTCTCACAGTTGTGAGAGTTGGTGGAGTGTGTGCAAGGCTATTCCCTGTGGGGGAATAGAAGACATGATGCCAGTTCAGCCATAATCAGAAAGGAAACTGGATGTGAGTGGGAGAAGAAAGCCCACAAGAACCTGCATCTTTCCACCGTGTGCAACCCGGATGATTGCAGTGACCCTCAGAACAAGTTCATGTTCTTGATCATGACGAAGCATACATGGCTGGTCTAGCTTCCAGAGAATCTGAAGGAAAAGAACAGCAGGATTTGGAGGAACCCTAGTAGCTCTGGATCTTTCTACCAACAAAGTGAGCCAGCTTAATGTTTGGGAGCTGCACAGTACCCTATATACCACACTGACCTGCTGCTCCAGTCTTTCAAATCTTGTGCAAATTTCTCTTGTAGTCATCCCTCATCTAGAGCCACATAGAAAAGGGGAGAATAGGAGTTGCTATTTCCAGTTTAGCTGAGCTGACCACAAAGCCAGCATAACCAGGATGGGACATGTGAGAGGGAATCTCACTGTTAGAAGCACTGTGAAATTGTAGAACATGCTTGCAATGCTAATTTTAGTGCCTTACCCTTGTAAAAATTCTTCTGCATATGTGAAACATGTTTGTTTTATTGCAGCATTATTTGCAATAGCAATATGAAAATTAATGTCTATTAACGGTAAACTGGTTAATACACTGAAGGAATGACAGGTAGAAGAACCTTAATTTTTTACCTTCATATTGCTAGAAAAGGAAGAGAACATTACTTATTATGATACTATCTGCAAAAAGACATTGGGCTTTGCATAAAGACATTGTATTGGTTTCCTGACAAAAGCTAATTTTAAAGGAAGGGCTTAATTTGGCTTACAGTCCAATGGCACAGTCCATCATGGTGGGGAAGTCATGGCTGCGGAAGCTTGAGGTGGCTGATCACACCGCACCCAGTCAGGAAGTAGAGGGAGATGAGTGCTACCATTCAGCCCACTTTCTCCTTTTATTTAGGCTGGGCCCCCAGCCCAAGTGATGGTACCACCCACATTTAGGATGGGTCTTCCCACATGCATTAACCTAATTTGGATAATCCTTCACAGGCATGCCCAGAGCGTTGTCTCCTTGGTGGTTCTAGATCCTGTCAAGTTGACAATCAGTACTAATAATCACAGATATGTTAACAGTCATTATATATCTGTCCCTGGAAGTGGTATCAATGGAAACATATCAACAGTATGGATTATCTCCAGGAAGACAATCTTAGTTGCTGGGGAACAGTAATAAAATGGGGCTATTAACTATAGGGTTTTTGTTGTTGTTTTTGTTTTGTTTTGTTTTGTTTTGGCTTTTTGAGACACAGTCTCCCTGTAGCCCCAGCTGTCCTGGAACTCGCTATGTAGACCAGGCTGGCCTTGAATTCAACAGAGATCCGCCTGCCTCTGCCTCCCGAGTGTTGGGGTTAAAGGCAGTTTTTTTTTTTTTAAAGGCAGGCATCATGGGACTGTATTCCTTAGTAAGAATTAGAGTAATAATATAAACATTCCTTTCAATAAGACATTTTTTCTAGTTGTTTATTTCTGATAATGCTTCTATTTGAAATGAAGATCATAAAACAGTCTACTCACTTTTTCCCTGTGATCTATAGAACACAATGTACTTTACAGTGCTGTATTTAAACACTTGTTTAGGCTGGGCGTGGTGGCACATGCCTTTAATCCCAGCACTCGGGAGGCAGAGGCAGGTGGATCTCTGTGAGTTCAAGGCCAGCCTGGTCTACATAGTGAGTTCCAGGACAGCTGGGGCTACAGGGAGACCCAGTCTCAAAAAGATCAGAAAACAAACAAAAACAAACAAACAAAAAAAACCCACTTGTTTAAAAAATTAGGCATTTTAATACTCATTAGTCAGCAATGAAACTTTGTGAACTTGGTTTGTCCTAAAGGAGTTAGTCTTATCTCTATCTCTCCCCCCACCCCCCCACCCCGCCATCCTCTCCCATCCCTATCTCAAATTGCATAAACCATGATGAATCATGAGAGCTTGAAAGGCTCCAGGGCAATATAAAATAAATGAGTCCAGTAAGAGGTGAAGTACTTGTTAAAGCTCAGACCATTACTTGCCCATTCTGGTACTTGCACAGAGACTATCCTGAATGACTAGTGTGTGAACACCATTTCAAGTCACTGTATTTGAGCTTCCTTAGCACCACATCTTCTTGATAATGATGTAGTCTTCCATTTCTGGAAGTACTCCTAATTTTACTTAATCAGAGTCTAATTTCAATATACATACATGTATATGTGTGCAAATATGGTATGCATGTAGGTGTGTTCACTAACTATGGTATCTTCTCATCAATATAGTATTCAACCAACAAATGCCAAAGAGATTTAATAAGTTGAGTTCTACTACAAGTAACTAGACTGGGTGATTAGTCTCCCCCTTTCTCCATATACATACATATATTTTTTTCCATTTTACATGTGTGTATTGCTTGCATGTATTTAAGTACACCTGTGTCGTGCAATGCCCTCAGAGGACAGAAGAAGCTGTCAGATCCCCTGGAACTGGAGCTATAGGCAGTTGTTAGCTGTCATGTGGGTGCTGGGATTCGAACCCAGGTCTTCTGCAAGTACAATGTTCTTAACTGCTGAACCATCTCTCCAGCCCCCAGTACATATTTTTTAGATATTCTGTTTATTATTATTTAAAATTTTGTATGAGTATATTGCCTGAATGTATGTAAATGTACCTGTGTCATGCAATGCCTGAGGAGGTCAGGAGAGGGTTTCAAATCCTCTGGAACTGGAGTTACAGATGGTTGTTAACCACTGTGCTGGATAGCTTTAGTGTCAACTTGACACACCTGGGTTGAGGGAGCCTCAATTGGGAAATTTCCTCTATTGGACTGGCCTGTGGCCATGTCTGAGGGGCATCTTCTTGAAGAGTGATGTGGGAGGGCCCATCCCACTGTGGGTGGTGTCATTCCTGGACAGGTGTACCTGTGTTGCATAAGAAAGCAGGCTGAGCAGGGGCCAAGGGAGCAAGCCAGTAAGCAGCATTCCTCCATGGCCTATGCTCCAGCTCCTGCTTCCAGGTTCCTGCCCTGAGTTCCGACCTTGGGCTCCCTGATGAACTGCAACCTGGGAGATGTAAGCTGAATAAACCCTTTCCTCCCCAAGTTGGTATTGGTCAGAGTATTTTGTCACAGCAATGAAGAAACAAACTAAGACTTGGGAATTGAACCCACGTGCTCTATAAGAGCAGCCAGTGCTCTTAACTGCTGAGCCATCTCCCCAGTTCCCAATATCTTTTTTATTTTATTTAATTAATTAATTAATTAATTTTATTCTTTTTTTTTTTTGAGACAGGGTCTCCCTGTAGCTCCAGCTGGCCTGTAACTGGCTGTATAGACCAGGTTGACCTTGAACTCATGGAGCTCCACCTGCCTCTGCTTCCCAAGTGCTGGGATTAAAGGCATGTGCCACCTTGCCCAGAAATTAAAATTTTAATTTGTGTGTGTGTGTGTGTGTGTGTGTGTGTGTGTGTGTGTGTGTGTACCACCTGCGTGGTCACTGAGGCCAGAAGGCATTGGATCTTCTAGAACTGAGTTGCAGGTGGTTGTGAGCCAGCTGATGGGGTGCCTGGAACTGAACTTGGGTCATCTGGAAGAGCAACAATCGCTCACGAGC